CCTACACGACGCTCTTCCGATCTGAATCTAGATAGAATTGGAAAACTCGAAGTTAAACTAAGAAAAAAAAGTGAAAAAATGTGAGAAAATAAGTGCTCAGTGTTTTAAGGTCCTTCGAGTGATTTTTTCAAGCTCTCAGAAGAATAGAACAATTTAAATAGAAAAATATTACATATTTTCTTAATATAATACCTATATGTATGTGTTTTATGCTTTTTAGTTCAAAAAATGTTTGGGTTAAAATAATCATTTTTAGGGTGGCATCTTGAGCTTAACTATCTAATATTGAGATATATTTAAGTTACAGCAATTGATAATAATCTACTTCTCGATCTTTATTCAACTAGTAATGAATGTCATCTTATTTAAAAAAAAAATAATTAAGGAAATTTGAAGAGAAAATAAAAACAAAAATTTAAAAACATAAAATTTTTAACAGAAAACGATGTGAAAAATGTATGGGTCGGATTTTTTAACATTAAAAGAAATGGAATGAAATATTATTGATAAAAAACTATTAAAAAATATTGGTGCAATGAATGTTGCAAGGAGGAGACTTCAAACATAGGAAAATATCATGCTGTTCAGATACATGTGCAAATGACTTTTGAAAAGAAAAAATCAGACTGAAAGAAACCGAGAACAAACAAAATGCGGTGACTATGCTATTAGAAAAAACTTAAATGGAAAATATGTGTCTTTTATGGTGGCTAACTAGATACATTATTATAATATTGACCACCGCTTTGTGTATTATGCAAAAATCAAAAGAACAAAAAAAAGCATCCTGAATGCTTCTAAGTTTGCATACTCGTCAAAAAGAGAACAGAGAATCAGTTGAAATTATTGATTATTACGTAACATTCATTAACCGTTTGATAGCAATGGTCAATAGAAATTTTGATATGAATTTTTTTCATCTCTATATACCTATTTATCATCAATTGGTGATTGTCATCAATTTGAAATCTACACTTAGAGAATCCTTTTGTCAGTTTCAAATTTAAAACATTTTTTTTTGAAAATATTTTATCATCAAAATAAGGGTAGAGGCTATTTTCATATAAAATTCTTTATTGTTTAGATTTTTCCCTCTAAAAATCAAAGACCGGTGACATGCCATGTTTTCGTAATTTAATTGAGCTGTGGATAGAAATTTTGCATATTCATTTTTGGATGATGACAATTTCGTTTAAATAACTCAATACAACTATTTAATAAATAAATTAAAAAAACCAGAATCCAATCCAATCATAAAATTATTCTTTAATAACGCTTTTTGATTTTCATGTTTTTATTTGCCTCTTCACTTCAACACTTGATTGAAGAATTGAATACCAATTACTATTCTTAATTTACAATGAGATCTGAATTGACTGTCATAACTTTTTATACTAAGATAGGGTTGACCAGCTTTTATCCTTTATTTCTGATTTTGAAGAATAACAAATTTTAATAAATTTCAATTTACCCAAACGGCACAACTGCTCCACTTGTATGCCTATAGTTTGCCTTCAGCAGATTCCGTGAACTCTTACATGCAGCGTTGATGATACGATTTATTAGGCGCCTTATCAGAAATTTGCAATGGGAAGTTTCCTATCAGGTGACTTTTAAGTTAACTTTTTCGGAAATGCCGCTTGTGCCGCTCGGGTTAATGTTGTGAAATTGGATCTGAAAACCATAAGCAAAAGAGAAAAAATCGTTTGGTGACTTTTGTAATATCGCGGAAATGACGTATTTTTTAAGTATTCTAAATATGGCACATTTCACATTGCTCATATGATGGTCACAAAATTCAAAACTGAATATAATATGTATGGCTTAACCTTTTACTGAAGCCAGTTGCACTTTAAAATTGTATTTGGTAAGCTCTATTCTAACATTGCAACGTGAAATGCGCCATATATATTTTTATTATCGTTGTAGATTTATCCATATTCATTAACTGACATTTTACTTAAGTTAACTACCTTATGAAAATAACAAGAAATTAAAAAAAAATTGATTGCATTCAGAGTTGGGCGAACTATAATTTCAAATATAGATCGCGTAAATGGATCGGCGATCTAAAAAATTTTTGGAACGCTTAATTCTGATTGCATTCTTCTTTAATTTGAAACATTTTAATGTGGGTTGATACCAAATTTCTTATTTAAATTCTCATCAAAAGATTTCTACTTATTTTTTAATTTTCACTAAGTATTATGGTGTAGTTTTCAATTAAAAAATGTAAAAAATTAGGTCATGTTCTTATTCATTATTACTTTTTTAATGCTTAATTTTTTAGACAAAACACTCATTGAGAGGTAAAAATTTGATCACATCTAAATTTCAAATTTTTATTCTCAATAAGTATCAAAGTAATATCTAAATTAAAAGTAATTTTAAGATCAAAACATAGATAACAATGTAATTGAAGAGGAAAGAAATAAAATAATTGACGAGAAAAATTTTCCACATTTTTATTAGCAATTGGAAATATGTATTCATAAGAGAAATGATCAAATATCTAAACAGAGAAGGAAAACAATGCTTGAGTTCCAGTCCCAGGTAAAATCAAATACTTTTACATAAAATTCATTTAATTACGCTTAAATACTTTCGTCATTTTTGTCTGTCTCGATAAGAAATAAACAGTGCATATGCTATTCTTAAATACACAACATGTGTTGGAGGCGATTTTGAACTACATAAAGTTTAGCAGATGCTTCATTAAACAATCATTTTTTATGTATGTTCTTAAGAATGAAATCTTATATGTTTATGTACTGCAATGCATGTATTTTGATTGCTCAGAATGATGAGTCGAAGAAAAGAGTTACTCCTAGCTTCAAAAGAGATGTGAATTTATGGTTCTCTTCTCAAATATCAGTTGGAGCTGAACCTTAGTAGAGGATAGAAGTTTAAAACAACAATTCGAGGATTTTTTTCTGAATTCAAACAAGAAACTGTAATTATAAATAATTTTCAACGACATTATATTCCAAATTAGAATAACATAATTAATTAATAAAATACCTACTTATTTAGCTTTAGTTACCATTTTATGTCCAAGTTTAATAATTTTTGATTTCGCATGATATTCATATTCTTCTGTAGTACAACATAATCACAATTTTAATTGAGATCGTTTATTTATCTTTAAAGTAATTAGAGTATGTAAAAGAATGTGAACTACCTATTAGTTATGCGTCAAGCTTCAATTCAATCAATTAAAATCTCATTATGAAATTTGAGTGAAATATAAGCCGTCGAAATTTATATTTTTTCTAATAACCCTTCGTGGCCTCAAAAAGTCATTTCTGTTTCCTTAGCTGATAAGAGGGTTCTTTTTAATCATGTTTGTTTGTATTAATTTATATACATAAATATATTGAGGATAGAAACTTTGTATTTGTTCCTAATTGAAAAACAGAAACCAGTTCAGATTTTAAATTATATTGTTTTTCAAATAAGTAAGGATAATTAAGATGTACAGAAATTATTAAATATAAAGTTATCGCATGAACACTTATTTGTTATATGTGAAAATATCTTATTAGTAGTAGTCATTATGAAAAAGATCATCATGCTATATTTCTCCAAAACGGAAACACAAATGAGAAAGGAAATGAATGAATGTATGCAAGTCACAAAGATTGTTTTCATTTTCATACTACATTTTAATTAAAGATTTTTTTCTTACACATTTTGATTGTTTACTCAGAGAAAATAGCTAACTTCATAGATTTTTTTTTTAAATAGACTTATTTGTAAATTTATTTGACGAATAAAGCATATTTAAAATAATTTCAATCTTTAGAAGTCGTAGTGAATCAGCCATCAAATTCAGCAATGAAGTTACGTGTTCTTCTTATTTTACTTGCATCTGTTTTGACAATGGCTTATGCATTTTCTGAGGATTTTGATATCCCAGATGAAATTGACGACGAAGAATTGGACGAAGATGAAGAAATCCTGAGATTGTTAGAAGAGAAACGTATTGTAAGTTAAGAGTGAAATAAATATTTTAAAAATAATTATTTTCACGCACTTTTTCAAGTTAGAGGATTTGAAACGCGAAAATGAACACGCACGTGATCTTGCTTCCAAATATCATGCTGAACATGGGCTAGTACAAGGAACAGACTCAATTAGAATGATTTGTATACTAATCTTATTTTTTTTAACTTTTTCTTGTATTTTAATCTAATTCTATAATAGATGATCCTTGCACTAAAATTCATTGCGGTGCTGGACGTGTTTGTCAAGTAGAAGACTTTTCAGCACACTGTGTATGCATCCCTGAATGCCCTGAAGAAACTGACCCACGCAGAAAAGTTTGTACCAATCGTAATGAGACGTGGGGAAGTGATTGCGAAGTTCATCGTCAGCGTTGTCTTTGTGATACAAAAGACGATCGTTGTTCAAATTCGAAAAACTCACATATTCATATCGATTACTATGGAGAATGTAAACAATTACAGGTTTGATTAGACATAAAATCTTTCAAGTTTTAATCTTACGCTAAAAAAGTATCAGCTCATCAGTTATTTCAATTTAATAACTTTTTAGATTTGTACTGAAGAAGAAATGATTGATTTCCCGCGTCGAATGAGAGAATGGTTGTTTCATGTTATGAAAGAACTCGTTGGTCGTCAAGAATTGAACAAAGAATTGGTAGAAAAATTAACTTCTAAATATGAAACTGAATTGAATAAAAAGTGGGCTAGAGCTGCTGTTTGGAAATTCTGTGATTTAGATGCTACTCATGATCGTTCTGTATCTCGTCATGAACTTTTCCCAATTCGAGCTCCATTGATAAGTCTTGAACATTGGTAACATAAAATAATTTTAAGTTTAAAACGAATATTATTTTTAAAATTTTATATTTTAAAGCATTTCACCATTCTTGGAAAGCTGTGATGCCGATAATGATCACCGTATTACTTTGAAAGAATGGGGCAAGTGCTTGGGATTAGAAGATGGAGACCTTGAAGATCGCTGCGAGGAAATCTTCAAATCCAAAGATAACAACATATAATCAAATTAAAATTTTCATATGGTATCGGATACCATTTCTCTACTGGAAGATTCTAATTACCTACTAATATTCATAATTAATCATGATACATGTAACGAATTTTTGCAGTAATAATAAAGAATATAAATGATTGATGCAATCATGAAATAATCAACAAGTAGGTATTTCTTTTCACTTCCTTTTTATTTATTAAAAACTACACTTCTTTTATAATCTAAGTCATATTAATTATAAAGATTTGAAAATAACATGAATCAAAGACTCATTTTCATTGAAGTAAAGAAAAAAAAGTAGACTGAATGAAAATATTTCTTATATACTAAAAACTCTGAACTAAATTAATATTAAAAAAACTGAACCTCTTATTTCTATTTTACTCTCATGAATGCGTCGTTTCAAAAATGTAGGATTGTTTTCAAGTTCCAAGCTAAAACTTAAGGGAAAAACATAAATCTTAATTGATTTGCAGATATTATTTATCTGATATTTTTCTCAAAGTTTTCGCTGATTTAAGTCTATTATATTTATTTATCGTTAAGTTGTTTTTTTAATCATGAAGAAAAAGTTATAAAATCATGAACGAAAGAGTGATTTCATACAAGAAGAGAGTAACTTATTCAGGTCCTCCTTTCTTTCCAATAAGCGACTTGTGGATGTGAGGAATGACACCACCTCCAGCAATTGTAGCTTTAATCAAGCTATCAAGTTCCTCGTCTCCACGAATGGCAAGCTGCAAATGACGTGGTGTAATACGTTTGACCTTCAAATCCTTTGACGCGTTTCCTGCCAATTCAAGAACCTACAAGATTTCAGAATGAATCAGTGACCAGATATATTAACGGAAAATATTTTTAAAATAGGAATTTTTGGATATCAAGCAATAATAAATATTTTATAAAAAAATTATAGAAGATGTTTGATAAGCATAAAATATTTAGAACTATTGATTTATAGAAAGAAGCACATTAGTTATATAAAGAAAGTAAAAACAAAATGGCGAATCCTTCATCGCGTCACTAACATCCAGTAAAAAAAATAGCTTACCTCGGCTGTGAGATATTCTAATATAGCAGCAGAATAGACAGCAGCAGTTGCACCAACACGCCCATGACTCGTTGTACGATTCTTTAAATGACGATGGATACGTCCGACAGGAAACTATAAAAGGTAATTGAAAGGACCACAAACATTGAAATTAGTTGGCGGGAAAATGGATGCTTTTGCTTTAAATTGACTTAATTTCGTAACTACCTGTAATCCTGCTCGAGCTGAACGCGAAACTGCTTTTGCTTTAGCTTTTCCTGAATCTTTACCAGCTTTGCCACCAGCCTAAATAAGACATGAATTCTTTAGAAACCGAATTCTAAGAGGTTAGCTTAATATCTTCTAAAATTAGTCAAAAATGACTAATCTTATATATTTTAACTAACTTTCATTTTTTTTTAATTATAACAAAGTGTATAGAGTGCCTTCTTACCATTTTTTTCAGTTTATTTTTCTTAAATGTATCTGAATTTAAAATTTATAAATTTTATGATCGCTTCGGTGATGGAGATTTTTGTGAATACAAAGAATCAACAAACCCCTGAAATTGATGCAGAAAAAATACAGTAAAACTTGTCTAACTTGGCATTCGTAACGAATATTTCAAATTAGACTCTAAGACAGCTGTGGTTAAGGCTCTGTTTTGCTTGTCAAAGTGGAAATTCCCGAATTGTTGTTGTTACAACAACAAGAACCCGTTCTTACCAAGCTTCTTTAATCATTTCTATAATTTTTGCTTAATTGCGACATATTATACAAATAGAAAATAGCATAAACTTTTTACGATTATTGTTATTTTTTTGTTGTTATTTCTTTTTCTTTTAAATATATTTTTCATATAAAACCATTCGAGAATGAATAGAAAACTAAAATTAACTGCAAACAAGCCGGTAAAAAAATCATCAAAGAAAAATGGTTACGATATGCCAAAACCATTGAAAACAGGAGACGTGTTGACCGATAATAAGAAAAAGCAGTGGATTATAGGAAAGTCAATAGGAATTGGTGGTTTTGGTGAAATTTACTCTGCACGTGAAGGTAATTCAGCTATAAGAAATGTTGAAAATTTCCCGTTTGTCGTTAAAATTGTGAGTTATAGTTTCATTGTTACGAGATTATTTTTTTAATGAAAGTTGTCGTATAATAATAACTATTCTGATTTCTTCTTAGGAGCCTAAAGAAAATGGACCATTGTTTGTAGAGATGCATTTTTATATGCGAAATGCTAAACCAGATGACATTGAACATTTTAAAAAATCTCACAATTTGACATCAATGGGAATGCCTGAATTTATTGCAATGGGCTCTCACGAAATTCAGAACACCAAACATCGCTTCATAGTGTTACCTCGTTTTGGAAGAGATGTTGGAAAGATTTTCATGGAACACAATAAAAAAATGCCTTTGCATACTGTTTATCGTCTTGGATGGCAAATAGTAAGAAAATATTTATTGTTTTAAGTTTTCGCAAGCTTATATAAAATTATTTTCTAGGTAAATGTTTTAGAATATATTCATAGCTGTACATATGTTCACAATGATATTAAAGGATCCAACTTATTGCTCGGATTAGGAAAAAATGGCAACGAACAAGTTTATTTACTTGACTATGGTTTAGCATGTCACTACAACACCAAAGATTTTAAACCAGATCCTAAGAAAATGCACAACGGAACAATTGAATATACATCACGCGACGCTCATAATGGTGTGCCAACAATGCGTGGTGATTTTGAAATATTAGCTTACAATCTATTGGAATGGATTGGTGGTATACTTCCATGGATAGCAAAGAAAATACTCTTAAAACCACTTGAAGTCCAAAAAATGAAAGAAGAATTTATGAAGTCAACAGAAAAATCATTAAAAATATGTTTTGATGGTAAAAATAATAATGTTCCATCAGGCCTCTTGACATTTTTCAAGTATTTAGAAACAATGAAACATGATACAGTTCCCGAATACGATAAGATCCGAAGCATATTTGAAACTGGCTTGAAAGATTTGGGCTATAAGAATAGTGGAGAACTTGAATTTGAACAGGCCAAAACAACTCCAAAAGCAACTGTTATTGATGAAAAGAAGCAAAGAAAAAAACCTGGACGACCAACTTTCACAAAAGAACCAGTCAAAGAATCATTGAGAGAAGAAGTAATTTCCAAACGTAAGACAACACGTAAACGATATTTAGAAGTTAATTCCTCTGAGTCCGATGAAGAAGAGCTCTTCGTAGAGCCTAAAACTGCTAAGAAAAAATCAAAACCAGTTCAAATTGTTGAAAAAACAAAAGTTGTTCCGAGAGCAAAACGAAACCGAGATAATAAAAATGCTGTTCATAATTCAAAGAAGAGAGGAAAAGATGATCAATCTGAGGACGAGGAAGCGACAAAGATGTCACATTCAATACAGCCGATAGAAAAATCTAAGCACCAACTTTCGTCAAGTAATGGTAACTATCATATTACACCAACAACCCCACCTAACCAAGAGGAATCTCTAATAAATGATAAATCATCAAAAGATGATAAAAATAGCAATACCAAAGCTTCTTTGACTCTCAAGTCTCAGAAAAAAAATGCAAATAAAAAGACAATTCAGCTTAATTTCAATTTAGATGTCTCTTTAGATTCAGACTTGGTCGTTGTGGTTAATAGAAAGGAAAAGAAGAAGAAAGCTACCAGTGATGATATCTCAAGTGCTGATGGCAAAAAACCTGATGATTCGGTTAACGTCGCAGGTTTCTACAAAGGAAAATATGCAAAAAAATGAATGAAAAATTTTCCAATTTTTTTTTGTCATTATCATTTAACATTTCATTGTATCTTTAATTAAAATTTGCTTAATAAAAACTTTTCAGAAATAAATTTAACGATTTTTCAAATAAAATTAGTCAACAACAAGTTATTGACAATATTTTGTTTTCGAATTTTTCGAATAATATTTTCGGTTGTGCGAACTCAAGTTGAAAAACGAAGTTATAGTCAATAGTAATCATTTATTTATAAAACGTTTAAGAGCACAAAGTAAAAGCCTAAATTGCCTTACATATTATTTTTTATAATTAAAAATTAAATTAGGTATTTAAAAAATAAATAGGGTCCAGAAAACTTTTATATTAATTAGACGAAAGCTGTAATCAGAATTGTACTTAAGTTATTGATTCATCATTAGCCTGAATAATGGAATTGGAATTTTTTTTAATTGTAATGTCACTAAGCTTTAGAACTGCTTTGGATTTAAAAGTGAGTAAAAAAATTTGCATTTTCAATTTTTTATTTTAAAATCAAATCTTATAATCTTATAATGTTAATGACGACACGTGTTATCAAGAGTCTTATCAGTATTTTATTAGATTATTATTTATCAATGCGTCAAATTGACAACTGTTTCTTTGTTTATTGATATTTGTTTTTTTTTTATTTTAACCATTTAACTAGAAAGACATAGAAGGAAAAGATTGCAAAGTAACTGAGCCGATTTATAATTACACATTCGACTTGTCACCTTTACGTTCTGAACTGGGATATCATATATCTTCAAATGATCAACCTGAGTTGTTCATGTTCAATGTTTGTGGATCCCTTCCCAAGAAATGCAATAATCAATCAGTATTAGCTTGTGTAACAAATCATTCAGGGGAACAAAACAAAATTTTTGGTTCGTTAATGTTTATTTATAAATGACCACTTTAAAGTGTAATGATTCATTTGATGATTCATATTCTTTGAAGGTTTCAAAGAAAAGCTACTATGGAATGACGGATCCCTTCGCTTGAGTTATGTTGGTGAGAAGTGTGGGAGCACTGGGAAAAATTTTTCAATGAACATTTTACTTCACTGTGATTATTCTGATACTAAAAGTGATTTTCTCGGAGTATTTCATGAATCGAACTCTTGTGAAGCAAATGTTGTCATGCGAACTCCTTATGCTTGTCTTCCAATTCCAAATGAAATGAAAGACGTCAAATGCTCTGTAGAGAGTCCTTCTGGGGATGTCTTCAATTTTAACTTACTAAGAAATTCAAATCATATTGCTAAAGGCCCGAATGGGACGAGATTTGTTATCGGCATATGTAATCCAATTTTATATGGACATGAGGCAGGTTGTGAAGAAGGAACTTCTGTTTGTCAACATAAACAAAATGAAATAGAATTAAACAAAAGATATCAAAATATGGGTGTGATGAGTGAAGGCTTTAAATATGACAATAATGTCATCAGTTTAACAATGTCCTCTAAAGAAGTTTGTGCAAATGCAACAGGACAAACATTTTCGTCGAAATTTATTTTCGAATGTGACAACCTCGCAACATCAAGTTATCCAACATATCTAGCAACGATTGATTGCATTCATATGTTCACGTGGCCAACTAATATTGCATGCAAAACAAAAAAATCTTGTCAGGTTGCAGATGTTACAAGTGGTGTTTCGTTTGACTTCACTTCTTTAGCAGGCATTCAGTATAAAGCTACTGCCGAAAACAATACTGAGGATGTCATTTATTTCTCTATTTGCACTCCATCAAAAGAACCATGTTTAAAGGAAAGTGGTAGCTGTGTTGTGACGAACAAAAACCAACTACGAACACTAGCAGGACATTTCAATGATCATTTGATGTTGGATGGTAAAAATCCTTATCTTTTGTATGAAGGTGGTGAAATTTGCCAAAGACAAGGACAAACCTTCACAACAAGAATTGATTTTATTTGTTCAAATGACGGCATGTTAACTGCTGAAAATACTGCTATAGTTATTGAAGACGGTTGCTCAATTGTGATACATTTCAAGACTGTTCTAGCTTGTGGTTTTATTAAAAACTGTATTGTGAAATCCAACGATGATCAAGAGATCGACTTGAGTCCATTGATTAATTATGAAGGGAATTATGAAGCCACAGTAGATGAAAAAAAATTCCCAAACGAAATAGCACCGGTCCATTACTTATTAAATGTGTGTCGACCTTTAAACTCTAAATATACTTTAAATTGCCATGGCTCAGCAGGAGCTTGCAGAACTGTGGAAAAAGAGGGAAGACATGAAGAAGAATTAAACTTAGGACATCCTTTTTATTCGATGTCAGCAAACACGATAAAAGGAATGACAGAAGTTACAATGAAATATTTCAATGGAGAAACTTGTTTGACACATAGAGACGAAAATATTACAACAAGTATTAAATTTATTTGTGATGAACATGCCGGACTTGGCAATCCAATCTTGGAATCAATTGAGAATTGCTTGTATTCGTTCATATTCCCAACGAATATACTTTGTAATGAGAAAATAGTTGAAATTAGTAACAACTCGTGTGTACTGTTAGTTGATGGAAAAAGTGTTGATTTACATCTTTTTGGAGATAATGGAAAGTATACGTTTGGAAATAAAACTATAGATATTTGTTCGAAGACAGAAGAAAAATTTTACACCATAGTTTATAAAGAGTCTATGATACGCATCGAGTTAAACATGCAGATTGGTAAAGGAACATTAATTTATGAGTCGCTTTTAGCAACACTTTCAATTATAGATATTTTATAATTTCGAAAATCGTTTCCAGATAATGTCATCGATGTGGAAGTTCGACTAATATGTAGTTCAAATAAAAATGTTTCAATCATGATAGACGTAAGTGAAACTGAAAAGATATACTTTTGTGTTTGTCTAATTGATAAAACATTGATTATCAGGAACACATATTGGTATTGGATGAAAATTCATTGATTTGTTCATTACTGAATATTAAGAAGCAGAAATCATCTACCTCCAACATGAGTGATTCCACTAAAATCCCTGATGATGATGTGGATCAATCGAAATCTTTTGCACTTGGTAGGTATCAATCTCCTTTAACATTTTAAAATTGTTAGTGATCAAGTTTTTTTTTAGGATATGCGTTCCTTGTGGTCATAGTAATTATAGCTTTTCTTGCTATTTATTTAGTCATCAGGCATCCTGAGCGACGTGAAATTATTTTCAATCTAGTCAAATTCCGTTCACGCCGTACTTCAACTGTTCGTTATTCAAGAGTAAGTATCAATATCGTTTTGTGTAGTGTTGTTTAAAAATTATTTCAAAGTTTATATTTGCGACAACTTTTAAGTTCATATTCTGATTTTCAAATGGATTATTTTACCGAAAACATTATATTTGATTTTGTGTTATCCGATTTTCTTTGTGTTTTCAATTTATTTTAATATTTGGAACATTTTTATTTGGACCTTTAATTGAAAAGTGTAACCAAATGAAAATGTTCTATTTTATGTGTACTCCATACATTTGACAAACGAAAATGGCTTATTAATTTTGCAAAAATATTGAAACAACTCGTTTTCACATGACTTTTCTATCAGAATCTTCTTCTTTTTTGCAGAACATAAATGATGATGAATTTAGTGTCAACTGAAAAAGAATTTTGGTAGAGAAACCATACGAGTATGTTCATTCTGATTTTGTTTTACCTAGGTAGAATGTATGATTTATCCTTTCTTAAGTTTGTCTTTACTTGGTTTTATGATTTTTTTATGTATTCGAGTTTTATTGGAATGAGGTGGTACAGTATTTTAACTAAGTTTAATTGTGTATTTTGTTAGATTTTTACAAATGATCGGCAATGTTTTTTTTGATGAACATTGCTTGGATATCCATTGTATTTATCATGTGATCTATTATAAATATATATTTTCTTTTCTTTTAAAAGGTCCAGCTTAATGAAGAGTCGTTGTTGCTGGAAAACAATAATGCGGGATTAAATGATAGCGATGACGACAGTATACTTATGTAATTTATATTTAACTAAGTATATATCGTGAAAAAGGTTTCACATTTTCAAGAAGCTTTTTCGAGAAAAATATTATTTATATAGGTATATTTTCATGCTAGTATTTTTTATAATAGATTTATTTAATCAGAGAAGTTCTTAATAACAATTTTGCAGCTATTTTCAACTGTGAGAGATTAAGTCTTTAAAAATTATTAAATTTGGTTAATGTTTTATTTTCTTCATTTTTAATATTTGAAACAGAAAATTTTCTATTTGTTGAGAGTCTATGTAGGGTAAATTGTTAACTAACTTGCAAAAACAGACAGAAATGAAAAAATGGAAGTAAAGCAAAGTAGGTAGTGACTTAATTATTAATTTTTAAAGAGACCATTACATTGCTTTAAAATTTTATTAAATGTTATTTTTAAAACTTAAAACTTTGAGTCAAAAATAAAACTTTTCTGAGTATAATTTATGCATTTTTATTTAATAAAGTCCAAAATGTAACATTTTGAAATAAGGTCAACCACAAGTTTTAGAACTGCTGTGCGTTTCTAATTTAAAATTGGAATGAATCTTTTTTGAATTTTGCAGAACTGAAGTTTAAGCTTGTTTTTATCTATTGTTTTTATATTAAGCTTAAAAAGTATTTATAAAAAATATTAATTAAATTAACAGAAAGTAATTTTGTATCATAAATATGACGCTGGATCATTGTTGAAGCATTGATCATTACAAAGTGCTTCCAGTGGTTTCAATCCTTAATGTGCCCTTGAGCCAAATAACTTAGTGTTTAAAAGTTTCTGCTACATCCTAGTTCGATGTGTATAGGGAAGGAGGTTTGACAATGCTTCACAGAATTTTCCTTCTTCGTGTTTACGTAGCATTTTTTCTTCTAATAAACTTCAATTTTTAAGAATCTAATGATAAGGCTAATTCATACATAAGAAAGCAATCGAATCATTTTCTTTTGACATTCGGCTACAAATCATAAGTCATGAATTCTCTTCAATTAACTGTTAAACACTAGAAATTAGGTTTAGAAGAATTATTTACCTCTAGTGCTGATGTTTTCAAACAACATTCAATGTTGCTTCATTGTTTTTGTAAACAAAATTGAAACAATGAGCATTCAACCACCATTGTAGCTATCGGTTTGAACATTCAGTTGTAAACTTCATCGCCGTGGAGTTGGTCGCAAATGTGTACTTTTCTTAAAGTAGTACATTATTATTCCGTTTTTTATACGCTGAAAAGAAAAAAAAACTTAAAAAAATTATTTCGATTAATACTTTTGTGTTTGTGTGAAAATAAACGTGTATAAAAAAGAAACCTGTTTTTAGTCATAACTTCAACGCGAATCTTCTTATTAGTGTTACGTCAACAATAGTTTTTTTAGATACAAGAAGAAGCCTTTAATAAAAGAAGTTGAAGGACAATAACAGTTTAACAATCCTATAATAATAAGTGAGAAACGATCTGAAAATTTACTTCCATTAGAGAAATTCTCAAATTTAGTTTTTTAACCAACTTAAGACGGATGCTTCAAAAAAAACAAAAATATCAAAACTGAGAAGTCTAAGCAAAAGCCACTAAAATTCAATAGAATTTCTGGATAGTACAAAGCCTGGAGGAGAAATTGTTCGTATACTAAGTTAGCCATGTACTTTGTAAGTGTGTGAAAATATGAAGTTCTCATGTAGTTGAGTAGTGGAATACGAATAACAAAAGCTGAGAAAAGTGGATAAAAAAATTAAATAAAAATAAAACATAATTAGATATTCTAACAGTAACAATTTTAGAAAACGGAGGTAAGTCAATAAATCAGTATAGATAACCTTTTATAATTTTCTTTGATTTTCCATCGGTAATTTAAGTACCTACGTTAAGTTTGTAAAGTAACTCAGACATATTAATAGAGAAGTTCCATATTGAAGTAAAACTGTTGAATCCGATGATACTTAATTCATTATCCAAAAACGCTAACACTTCATTATAATTCTAAGGATAATTTCTGCAGTTTCTAAAAAGTTTGAAAAGGAACTTAATGACTTCAATTTTGGCTGAATACTTTCTGCAGTATCTTATTGTAAGTGAGCTTCTCTCTACTGTGAAAATATTGTTGATTAAACGGATTCATTGATTACACAATCAATACAATTTAGTTTCTCACTTACTTAAAATTTTTATACGCCTAGGCATCCTCTTACTTTTAATATTTTTATTAGAGCTATATATGACATCCATGTGAAATAATTACATTGATAAAGAATATCCAGTTTTCATTACATGCGCAACTTGATGGACTTTCCGTTCAAAAAGAAATTTTCGCGAAATCGTGATTTTGGAATGGCCTTCGCGTGAATTTTGCACAATGAAATGCTTTTTGAAACAGAAACAGATGAACAAATCTTTCTTTTAACAGAAACACATGAAACAATCATGTTTCAATGTATTGTGAGTTCTTTTCATCTTGAGCTCTTAAGCTTTGTGAAATTAAAATTTTGAACAAATCTAAGTTTTAATTTTACTAAAAATTTATTTGGTCAAAAGTTGAGTATCTTCCCTGATTTGCATATAACGCACAGGAAATCATTTTTAAAAGTCTTTATTTACAATCCTTCAAAAATGAAACGTCTCAAAATTAAAAATTTAATCTCATGAAGCGAAAAAAGTACGATAAAATTATCAAGCTTAAATAGAAAAACGAGAGTTCATTTGAATTATAAAGTTGTTCAAGTTTTAAGAGATATCCATACGAATTTTACTTCAAATTCTAACTCTATTCGATTAGATACTTTAAATATGAAAAAAGGTAATAAAAGAAATGTAATAAGATATTTTGATATGTAACACTGTTCCTTAATTTTTTAATAATAGTATTACGTGTTACTATAAAATGTTTATTACAAAATAAAACTATTCCCTGGAATATATTTAAGCTTATTCTTCTTTGGAAAAAAAAACATAATAAATTATCACCGTGTTAAAAGTGTTTTGTAAATCATCAAGAGATAAGCACTTATGAATTTTGCGCTATTATTGATTTTGCTCTTAAAAGAGAGTCCGAATCTGAGATGCAATATTTAACTCAGAAATAAAAACTGGAATTTCCATAGATTCAATAAAAGATTAAAGCAGTAGCTTCTAGACTATGATATAAATTTAAAACAAAATCATTATTTTCAATATCAACACTTTTTTAGGTACCTACCTACATGTGAAAATTGTTCTTTCTTTATTTTACAAAATTCAATAAAGTTTTACCACAATTGCTATTGCCATAAATAGGTAGTCCGAATCTATTTTGGTTCACAGCAAAAATTTTCCTATATCTGAATTTTCAATAATTGAAATATTTTATGTGCGGCTATTTTGTTTCTGATGAGTTCCTCATAATTTATAAATACAAATTTTTGGAAATTTATCATCTTCTTGAGAGAAGGGTTAAAGATAGTAAAATGAAAGTTTAAAAATATCACTACTTTATGACTTTTTCTGTTTCTTTAAATAACAATAACTTTTTGGTAGAAAACTTTGAGTACTAAATCGGCAGTTACATACATTTGAAACAGAATTCTAAAATCAAAAAATTCTTAATTTACCTACCTAATTCCTTAGGAAAACTTATGAAAAAGAACTTTTCATAAAATCAAATTATGAGTTAAGATTATCGAACAGATTACTAATATTGTTGAAGAGCTTTCAATTATCTTGTTAGGAATTCCCAAAACTTAATTCAAGTTAATTTTTTCTAATATTTCATTATTTTATGTACTTAAATTCAGTGTGATTTTTCCATTAAAAAATAAATATTTGAACAAAAAGTTCACTTTCAGACTTTATAATCTTAAAACGAAAATTTGAGGGCGGAAAAACTTAAAATTCAAATTATCTGAATATCTTTATATGCGAAAATTCATAATGACAATCAAATTTTAATTAAACTTCGTATTTGATAACCGTTCAGGTCAAATATTTATGACGTTTATTTATGATGGAAAATACGTTTAATCTTGTTTCAAAACATGTCTGTGCGTATTGAATTTAAAGCTATCAACATTCACACATTTAAATAATATAATAAAAGCATTAAACGAATGAAATGTTTTTATTTGAATGAAACACTTCATTCGTTTATTGCTTTTTGTTATGTTATTTAAATGTGTGAATGTTGTTAGCTTTACAAGATAGTAGTGCAAAGTTTTAAAGAACAGAAATATAATATTTTTTACGTTCATTAGATACCTAGTTGAAAATGTATGTTTTCTGAAATTTTTCAATGCAGAACTCAATATACGTTACTTATTTTCCTATTTTGTTTTACTCTACTTTTAGAATTTAACGAGTAAGGAAAAAAAAAGTGCTTAGAACCAAAATACAAAAAAAATTTCAAAGCAAAAAGTTATAATGAATAGCAAAATAAAGACATTTCTCATAAAAAGTATTATAATCTTACGTTCCAAGTCTACTACCTAATATGTTTCAAATTTAAACTTTTTTATCAATTACTGCTTATGTTTGTTATCATTAAAAAATTAAAGTAATTCTTATGGAAATATTCTAACAAGATGATTCAAATTTCATTAATGAAAACTCGTTTCTTTGTTATTGCTTTTTCTTTTTCCCGCATGGAATAATTATTTACACATTTAGCCAAGCATTAAGGAACCATGTTTAAATTCTTATTAATTGTTCAAAAGTGTTCTTTTTAAGAATTTTCATTTTGTGCTATTCAAGTGTTTCTCAAAGCACATGTTCTATCAAAATAAAAAAGAAGAAAGTTTTAAATTATGATTGCTTCCGTCTTTTCGATAAGAATTTATGAATGTTCATTTAGAGAACAGGGCATTTTTTAATAGATTTTATTTCTTATGTAAACAGGGAAATGTCTACCAAATTTATTGTCTGAAATTCTAGTCGGTAGGGAAATGAAAAAATACGTATGGCTTAATTTTGTTGTCTGTTTCATGTGTTTTTCGTCTCAAGTGTTCACATGGAATTCATGCGTAATATCTTAAATGCAAGACATCAAAATCAGGTTGCTTCATTACAAAATGCAGGCTGTTTTTCAAATGATCTTTGAAAGATAAAACTTCATTATTTACGTTAGATTGATATACAAATATTTTCAATTTTCTTTCAAATTGAATTGAAGTTTCTTACCCTTCAGGATGATTTTATCAAGCATTGCATCATCCTGGGTTTTTAATTTTGAAATGGAATTATAAATGTCGGAAAATATTAACAGCTTTGTTTTTTTTTTCTCTCTGAATTTTTTATGGAATTGAGCAGAACAAAAATTATGTATCATGCTTCATTTTTCTGTAATTTAAAATGTGGGCTTCATAAGAGGATGAAGAATTGGTTTACTCTTTTCGTTTGGGTTTTCTTTACTCCACTATATAATTTTGATTTGAAAAAAACTACCTTGGTGGCCTTGCATTAGTGTAGTCGTAGTGGTTCATTCTAAGTTCAAGCTAAACAAAGATTCTACTTGCACAATGAAAGAAATTTATCAAAATTTTGCAAATAAAACGTTTTAGAATATCTCATTTCTCTGTAAAACTACGATGAAATTAATTATTCGAATGAACTCTCACTAAAGATTTGTTCTCTTTAAATATTTATAAAAACTTTTAAATTAATGTTTAGCTTCACCAAATATTTCTTTACCCATGTTCTTAAATGATGAAAACCCGGTTTTCAAAAAGAAACCTAATAAATACATCAACAATGAAAGATTGACCCATCATCGTGTCAGGTAGAAAGAATCAAACCCCAGAGCCCGATTGAAACGTTTCATCTTTCATGTAATCAAGAAGAAAAAAAAGAAAAAGATAAATGAAAAAATTTAAAATAATAGTCTTCTCTCCTTCGTTTTTAATTGGAAATGTTGACTGTTGGATACTTATTTTCTTCATATTATATATTTTCTATAATATATCTATGTATGTATTAATGAATATCTTTATCAAGATCTTTATATTATATGGAAATTCAGTGATACAGTGAACGTCATTGTTACAATTCCTTTTATCAACATTGCTTGATTTAAATATGAAATGAAGGAATGCAACTTTGCGAACAATTAAATAAAAGAAAATCCTCAGTTCAATAAGTAGATTCATCATATAAAATATTTAGAAATTATAGAAACTGTGGAATGAGCTCGACATCTAATTTTTATGGATAATGGCATGCTGCTGTTAATTAATTTTAAAACTGCAATTTAAAACTTCTAATGTTTAGAGAAGAACTGAAATAAATTTCAATAGAATTAATCGTGCTAAATTAGTTTTTCAAACCTGTATTATTTTTAGTTTGAAGCAAAATTTTGTTTCTTCTTCATAATTATCTGTAATCAGTTGGTTACAGAAAAATGAGCTCAGCCGATGAAATGGCGAGACGGTTCCGAGGAGGAAAAGAATTTTAAAAGTGAAGACCAAATGAATGATTATACAAAAATTGTTGAAGCATTTTTGAAAACACTTTATTCGGATGATTCTCTGCAGAAAATTCTTTACGGAATTCTCGATGAACGGAAACAAAATAGGAAAAGAAAATAATGTATCTACTTCAAATCATCTAGATAGTTAAAGTAGTGAAAATAAATCAAATCAAAAAATCTTATGATATGTAGATAGAAAGATCGATACAGTTGTAGATTTCCTTCACATTAATAATCGTTTATATTTAACCTAATCATAAGTTCTTAGTTCTGCCATTTATAAAAAAAATTCTTTGAATAAGGGATGTTAGAAAAAAAATTGAATAACAAACTACAGAAAAAATTAATAAAATTATTGTTGCATTGTAAAAAATTGAAAATTATGATTCATATAATTTATCTGTTGTACATTTTCTACTTACAGATATCAGCACAAATCTCAATTGAAGTGAATTAAAATTTAATACTTTATGGAAATCTCAACGACAGGAATATTATTAAATTAACAAAAAGTAATAATGATAATGAAATACCAAGGAACGTTTTTAGTATGTGTGGTTTTGTTTACCTTCGCGGTGGATTTTGTTCAGCCACAACAACGAAAACCAAACATTTTACGATGTCCACCAACATCCAATTGTACGTGCATGGAATACAATGAGCTTGAAATTCAATGTCCAAGATATGAAGCTCATGTTTTTGTTCGTATCATGAACAATAATGTTCACTTTGAGTGTGATAACATGACAGACAACGAATATGAATTGATCCCTGAGATACAATTAGATGAAGCTCGTTTTTTACAAGTCATGAGATGCCCCCTCCCACATGGTAAATCAATTGCATCGTATCTGAAGAATATCCGAATTGGTCGCATACGCTTCTTTCAATTTGTTAGCAGTGGTGTAAATCAGAACATTCCAATCGAAGCTCAACATTTCGAAGGACTTGGTGATATCGAGCAATTCGATCTTCGAGGTATAGAGAATGAGATAAAAGAACTCCCTCATAATCTCTTTACTTCTATGGAAAATCTAACATGGGTCAGGATACGAGTTGCTAACATTCACTTGCCCGTAGATCTCTTCGCACCTCTCAAAAACTTGGAATTTCTTGAATTGGGTCACAATAAGCTACAAACTCTTGAACCAGGCTTTTTACGTAATCAACAAAAACTTGTTCATTTAAATCTCTGGGGGAATTCTTTGCGAAATCTAAGTAAAAATTCTTTTATTGGTTTGGAAATGGTAAGAGAGCTCGATCTCAGTACCAACAATATGGAGAAGCTGGAATCTGATACATTCTTTCATCTTGTTAACCTCATGGAAATAAATTTAAGTAGCAACAACTTTTCATCACTCCCGGCAAGATTATTCGCTAACAATAAAAAATTAAAAGCTCTGAAGTTACTTGAAAATCGAGTCCCGCTGAGTCTTCCCAATAAGTGGCTTGCAAATCTCAACAGTCTTACGACTGTTTACATCAAATGTGAGCTGCAAAATATTCCTGAGGATATTTTTGAAGGCTCTCATAATATTGAAATCATACATCTTGCAAACAATGCCATCGAAAATCTTCCAGAAAACTTGTTAGTTAATCAAAATAACTTAAGGGAATTGGATCTGAGTGGTAATAGAATACCTGAGCTTTACGATGCTGTTTTTTTGGGATGTTCGTCACTAAAAAAGCTTTCACTGACAAGAAATCGCCTCAAAATTATTTCCAAGTAAGTATTCTCATTCAAAATATTTCTGCAACAGCCTTTTAACAGCACACATTTTCATTTAATTCTCTTTCTTCAGCTACTCATTCAAACCACTCTCGAGTTTGACTCACCTTTACTTAAATGACAATCAAATCCATAAAATTGAACCGAAAGCTTTTAAAGGGATCACTTCAGTTGAGTTTATAACACTTGAGAATAACAAATTGAATTTTCAGAACGGAGAGGAAATAATTTATGATGGTGTTTCTACTAAAACTGTTACCGGACCTTTTCAGAGTCTGCAACAACTTGAATATTTGAATCTCGCAAATAATTCAATAACAGAAATCTTCGAAGATTATACTTTAATGAGTTTGAAGACATTGAATTTAAGCTATAACCAAATATCTCTTTTATCGACGGCAGACTTGGAATCACTCACAAGAAATGGTCTCACAATTGATTTAACACATAATCGAATCGAGGAAATAAATTTTGCAAAGGATATCGACCCTACTATGTCAGCGGTCAACGTTCTATTGGATGATAATCCACTTGTCTGTGATTGTCGTATTTTACATTTCATAAGACACTTGAAGAAGATAGGCGGTAGAAAAATTGAATCAGGCAGTAACATTGAAGTGTCAGTTGGGAATCTGAAATGTGCAAATCCTAATAAAATGACTGATAGATTTGTGCGTGATATAAATCCACTGGAATTGATTTGTCCCTTGGATAATATTCAAACAGCAAAGAAGAGATGTCCAAATGGTTGCAGTTGTGAAGCCAGACCCGAAGACAGGCATCTTTTAATTCATTGCACAACTACAGTTGATATACATCAACTTCCAATTGCAACTGATATGAACTTTGTGGAGACTGAATTGAACATTGAAAATAGCAGTTTGACAAATTTACCAACTGTTTCAAAGTCTGCTGGTTATAATAACGTGACAAAACTTTTTGCAAACGGGAATCGAATATCATCCATTATGATTGAAAATATTCCAAATCATCTTCGCGTTCTTAATTTAAAAGATAACAACCTAAAGCTACTTAATGATTCAGTTATTAAATTCATTACTAATAGTTCATATATTGAACAGCTTTTCTTGAGCAACAATCCATGGCAATGTGATTGTGAAAGTCTTGAATTTATGAATTTTGTTCAAAAATTTCGACAAAAGATTGTAGATTACAGCGAAATCAAATGTAAGGATGGAAGAAAATTCAATGTACTCAAGCCTAGTGATCTATGTTCCGATGACAATCTCTTTGTTATAATTATAAGCATCATCACAGCCCTTTTGGGACTAATTCTTGGAGGTTTCGCCGCTCTTTACTACAAGTATCAGAAGCAAATAAAAATGTGGCTTTATTCTCATAACAGTTGTTTGTGGCTTGTGACTGAGGATGAGTTAGATAAGGTAGGAGCCATTTAAATGATGTCCATAAACTTCTTTGAATAACTTCACTTTTCTTATTTCATTAATAGGATAAACGTTATGATGCATTTGTGAGCTACTCACATCGAGATCAAGATTTTGTTGCAGACTTTTTGTTGCCTGAGCTTGAAAATGGAACCATTCCATATAAATTATGTGTACATGAACGTGATTGGACGCCTGGTCTTGAAATTAGCAGTGAGTGTAACTTTTGAAATATTTTAATTTCGTTTCATTTTCATTTTTATTATTTTTATAGCTCAAATTTCCAACTCAGTCAATGATGCTAAACGTACAATTATTGTAATGTCTTCAAATTATCTACAGTCTAATTGGGCGCAATGGGAGTTTAGGGTGGCACAGTCACATGCAGCAACAGAAAAACGCTCGCGAATAATAGTCATTTTGTATGGTGACATTGGAGACATTAATAAATTAGAACCCGACATAAGAGATTATTTGAAATTAAATACATACGTCAAATGGGGTGATAAATGGTTTTGGGAAAAACTAAAATATGCAATGCCACATGTCAAATCAAGCGAAAGAATGGAAAAATTAAAAGGACTTACGAAAACCTCCATCAAGAGTTCAGTGGATGATAAGCTTGAGTTAATCAAGCCAGTATCTATCACACCACCACAACTTACAACTCCCCCATCGGGGAAGGTTGTTAATCCCTTAATTACAACATTAAATACCAAAAACACCACTTCGTCTGATGGAACTCAAAATGGCAATGGTGGGCACATCAATGGAGCCTTTGTCATCAATACGGGTTCACGTCAAAGTGATGTGTGAAATTTTCTAAAATGTAAGACATTCATTCAAAAAGTTGCCTTAAAACTTTTTGTTTTGAAATATCAAAATTTTCCATCTGATTAAAGAAATGATTTAAGAATCTCAATTAAAAAAAATCTGAGAAATTGGAAATTAAATATGCAAAAGCAATCAATATTTACAATTCATCTTCATTCAATTCAAATAAAATTGTGATAAAGAATTGAAGAATACATTTGAATATAATATGTAGTTAGAATTAATTTTTGGGTTAAATTTTTTTTTGAAAATGACAATTTAAATATTAAATTTCAAATAGAGAAATGTAATTTATGTGTTTCCAACAAATTCAAATCATAATTTATCACAGAACACCCAGCATAATTGCATTATCGTACCTCGAACAACTTTATTTTAAAAAAATTGAGAAACAATGAAACTCATAAGAAGGATCTAAGTATCTAAGTTGTAACTTTCATTTCTGTTAAAAAAGATGTTACGCAATTCAATTTACTATTTTTTTTAGCAACATGGCGACTTAAAGGTTTATAGAGAAATACTTATATGCAACCCAATTTATGTTTTAAAGAAATTAAATTAATAAATAATGAAATGCATAAGAATTTTAAACTTTGATCAATCATTTAACTTTTGTTCTAATCATAATTTTGAAATGCTGAAATAAAA